CTCTTCTTATTTTCATTAGATAAAAATTATATGGTAGCTTAAAGAGATCTCATGATAAAATGCTAAACATAATAAAACAAATCAACCAGTCCCAGTACTCCACTGTCTAGCTGTAGATAACCAACCCAGGCATACCAGACTGATCCACTAGGGGGCATCACACATTGTATAAAGTATATTCGGGACAAGCCAAAACAAACAAAACCAGTTACGACATGATTGGTCAGAGTATAGAGGTGAATCAGACCAGACTGACCTCGTTTAACAGTCCCACATGATCTTATTAAGGGAAAATAGATCTGTGTTAAAAGGATCTATAATTTAAAACTGAATCAGGGAGGAAATCTGAATAATATTGGGAAATTGATCCAGGCATTCTTCAACTGGAAGAGAAGTTTGGTAACTGAGACAACTTAGCATCTGAACAAGCCTGCCTCCATTAATAGGATTAATTTAGTTAATGCAGATATTACACTGAGAAGTTTTTACGTGTCAGAGTTTCTTATTTCCCAGGAACTGAGGTCCCTTTACCTGATGGTGACTTGCTAAGTCAGTATGACTAATGTTGGCCCGCTGACTCCACCTCCAGCATGTTATTATGATCTAATCTTCTAAACAGCCTTCAAATCCTCTACTGTCAACCAGCCTCTTCTTTTTACACCAAACAAGCATGACCACCATGAGCAATCATGACCCTGGGAAAACTGAGATGATGGCGCAAGACTGTTGGTCTCAAATTTCTATAAGGTGACTGGCTTTGGGTTGCATGAATGAACAAAAATAAAATTATGTCTTTTTTCTCATTTCCATGAAATACCTAATGAGTTACACCACATTCAGCTGGATTTTACTTTGAAATCTTTAAGTTTTGTGAATATTTAGTTTCAGTGACTCAAAAATTATTATTTTAAAGTTATTACCAGTTTTCATAGTATAACAATAACCAACTGTTTACAAAATCCACTTCCTGGCATCTTTCATCACTTTGGAAGGTGCAGCTGCTGCGGCAGAGGAGTTCAACAGATATTTTAAGTACAGATGATTAAACTAGAAAAGGTAATGCACAGAATGTTAATCCTGCTTCTTTTATTATAGCACACATTTAGATGTAGACCACAACGTCTTGCAGAATTGCAACATTTTTCTACAACTGCAAAGCAGCCTTTGTTTTCCTTTTTTTATTTTGATCAGAAAACACAAGTTCCTGAATAAAGACAATTTAAAAAAATCCCATTTTACTGACGATCATCATTCCTCATAACTCCAGCATTTTAATCTTATAGCGTGGAAAGTAATGATGCTATTGTACATTTAGAAAGTGTTATTCTAATACCCAAACCCCAGAGATGCAAGAGGAACAAAACGATATAAACTTAAACTTTGGAGACGTGCTGTTGCCTCTTTATGAGCAACCCCTTGCAGGACCAGGATCAGAACATCCAGAGCAGATCTGCACCTTCAGAAAAAGCAGCATTTACATTTCTAAAAGACTAAGTGTGGACAAGTCTGAACAAATTGCATCAGGTGCATGTTAAGCCTTAAACAAACAGTCTGATGATCACATTTACACCTGAACATCTTGCACACTCACTGTCAGGTAAGGTAAACTGTCCAAAGTCAGAAACTTTAGATTGGCTTTTTCACATAATAGCAAAATATAATAAAACGTTTGTGGAAATAATTCTGCTGCATAAGGACTCACTGGGATATGTCAATACTTCAACTTTCATATCCATCAACCCCTTTCAAAGATTTAAATAATACCATTCTATTACTACTGAATCCTTGAAAGGACAGTTAAAACATTTCAAAATTAGTTTTTTTTTGTTGAAAGACAATTAAAAATGAACACTTTACATGTTGAAGATAGCTTCTTGAACAACTTTGGTGTAAAGAAACAGATTTTTTCTAACATGACTAAAGAGTCAACAGGTAGTGGTGGACTCACTAGAACAACTGTGACCTAAAAAATGTACATTGTGATTCAAAATGATGCTATTTTATAAACCTTTGTGCAGTCATAAACTTTATAATAGGGCTTGTGATCACACATGATTACGCATAGCATTCTGGGATGTGCGCGGCCATGTTGTAAGGTTGACGAGTGTAAACACCATCGTCGGCTCACTTGGATCGCAGCACGATTTGACACGATCAAATGAATAATAGATTAATTTAAGCCGCAAGAACGAGACTGAGCACGCTGTTTATAGTAGTAACAAGCAACAAGTAAGGACCCACTCGCCTCCAACAGGGCGGACGTGTTGGTAATGACGTCATGATCACACGCTCTGAACTTGAGACAGTTCTCCACACCTTCATCTCCTCACGCTTAGACTACTGTAACTCTCTTTTCACGTGTCTGAGCAGAACCTCCCTGAACCATCTACAGGTGGTTCAGAATGCCTGTGCTCGGCTTCTGACCAAGTCCTCCAAACACACCCATATCACCCCGCTTCTCCTCCAGCTTCACTGGCTGCCAGTCAACTTCAGGGTTCATTTCAAGATCCTGGTTCTGGTCTATAGGGCCTTACATGGACAAGCACCATCTTACATTGGTGATCTTCTTAGTTCCTACACCCCCAGCAGGTCCCTGAGGTCCAGTGATCAAAGCCTACTGGTTGTGCAGCACCAGGCTAAAGACCAAAGGTGACAGATCATTTGCTGCTGTGGCCCCCAGACTCTGGAACTCTCTCCCCCTGAGCCTGAGATCAGTGGACTCAGTGGTCTCCTTTAAAAAGCAGCTGAAGACTCACTTGTTCAAAGTGGATTTTGTATGACCTTCTTCACCACTCTCTCGTTATTCTGCTCTCCCCACCTATTCCACCTTCTTCAGGATCCACTGATTTCCCTCTTTCCTATTCACTCTCTCTCTTTCTTAACATTTTTTAATCACAATTGTCTATTTTTTGCTCATTTTAAATATATTTTAACCATTTTCTAAATTCTTTATATTTTTAAATTTTTTTGTTTTTGTGAAGCGCCTCGTGATTTTTATCTTGAGAGGCGCTTTAGAAATGATATATTCTTCTTCTTCTTCTTCTTCTTCTTCACAAGCCCTGTAAGCCAGTAATTAGCATAGAATTCCATTTTTGCAGCAGAAATTAGCATAAGAGCTAGGTATTTGTAAAACTTTCAGTCATAAGTTCATACATCAGGAAATTCTGGCAAAAATGCTACAAATAGCTAATTTTGCTATAGAATTCTAAGCGCATGCTTGCATAAAATGAAGATTACTGCTGCATGAAATTTCATAAAATAAAATTTTTATGAACTGACATTTTTTAAATGTAAGATGGAAATATTCCACTATGGAACTAGTTCTAGTGTGATTTGCTCTTTCTCCAAACTGAGGCTGTTCAAAGAGCCTCTTTAACCGGTGGCATTTAAACTGCTATCAACCTTTTCACATAAACTCACTTCAAAATATTTGAGATATTCCCTTAATATAATCACCAGATTTTTTGTTACATTTGACAAAGTAAAGTAAAATTAGATAATTGAGTGAAAATGCTAATATAAAAAGAAGACAACTCAAGTCAAAGACAGAGCTACAAGATCATGTGAACTATGCTCATTATCATTTTTTTCTGTTTATATAATACATTTGCTGTGCACTACATAAACTGCAGCAAATTGGTTCTCTTTAGAATGCTTTTGTCCTGTTTTGAATCAAATTCCTACCAGATAAATGTCAAATGAATCCCACGTCATTCTCGCATAACTGAGGGTTCTGGTTGGCTTAAATAAACAGATTTTCCTTTCATTTCCCTCCCCTTTTAGCCAGCGAGGAGATGACATCATGAAAAAATCCCACATTAAAGCTTCTGAAATTATGTTCTGCTGCTTCTAGTGTTGAGTCAACCTGAGCCGAGTCAATTTCCATAAAACCAACAAACAAATTGTTTTGTTTTCATGTCATTTAGTGGAAAAATTAAGATTTTTAAGGATGCTACTGTTCATCCTCTGTGGCTGATATTAAAGCAGTAATGTAACTGCAGTGGGTTTCCTCTGTCCTTCAGCTTGGAGGGGATTTTCCACCAACATGACATCGCTGTATGCTGCAGTGTTGTGGGTTTCACTTGCGGGACAAAAATGAGGGGCCCTCTTGACCACTCAGCCCTACACACACACACACACACACACACACACACACACACACACACACACACACACACACACACACACACACACACACACACACACACACACACACACACACACACACAGATCTGCTAGTGAATACCAAGGGGAATTCCAAACCATAAAACCCAATAGATGATTATCAAACAAGTAACTAAGGTCTTACAAACAACGGTAAAGACGCAAAAACTAAAAAGCTTAAGTGTGCAAAGTGAAGTTTTATGACTCAAGTGGGAGACGTTCCCTCTGCCTCCATCTTAGTTTTGAGGTAGTGGGGGCTTTTTGTGGGCTGCCAGCTACTTGCCAAAGTTGGACAACAACCCAGGAATTGCAGGTCTGGGTACAGAGTTGCCTCCTTATAGGAAGCCGATCTGGTCTCTCTCAGGTTTTATCCGTCTGAAAAATCAGAGCTGCTGCTGCTGTGTGTGTGTGTGTGTGTGTGTGTGTGTGTGTATGAGCCGTTCTGCAATACAGCTCAATGGTTTTCTACTCTCCTGTCATCCACCTATTTATTTCCAGGAATTACTTTCTCCTGTGAGGTTTGATTGAAGGCAACTACACCTCTTTGGTTTCATGAAGACATTTTGCTTCTCATTCTAACACAATAGGACCTAACAACATAAATGACTCCTTGTGGATAGGGAGAAAGGGTATTCATTGGTAGTTTCAGCTTGTTAGGCAACAGCTGACAGCTACAGCTTATAAGCTTGACCCTTCCACATTCCAGTCAGAATTGACAAAGTTCCTTGGATGAGAAGAGAAACATCTTCAAGAAACCAAAGAAGTCCAGCTGCCATCATTCAAAACCCATTTGGATTACAATCACCTAGATGATTACTTTCTCTTGCCTTTCTTACCTCCCGAGTCCTCAGCTGGAAGTTCTTCCCGTCATGGTAACAGTTGTAGGTTCTCAGCAGCGTTAAGATGTCAGGTCTGAATGTGGACACAAAAACTGGATTAAAGCTCACAACTCCGAGACAACACAAACATAAGTAATCGCTTTGAATTGACCTTATTGTTCATGTTCACTGTGACTGAAGTGGACTTACTTCGGTATAAGCTTCTCTTCATTAAGCTTCACAAAGGACTGGACTTCACTCATTCTAAACAGAAGACAGCTGAAGGCAGAGAGATAAAAGATTATTTGAAAAATGGAAATATTCTTTACTAATTATGTCAGAAACGCACAAACTCATATAATTGTCGAGATGAGTCGTAAGCTTGGAACTTTGGCTGAGATTCAGACTCTGGCACAGAAGGTGGATTCGATCAAGGAGAAAGTTGATGCGTCAGCATGGATTGGGATAGATTAATTACACCATTATTGGATTCAGAGGGGTTGAGGACCAACGGCACTTTAAGACAGAGAGGAAATTCTGTCTGGCCCCAAAACAAGTTCTTATCTGAATCTGGTGCCCTTGAGCCTGTGAGGCTGAAGTGATTACTCCCTCTCAGAAGAAATGTGGAATGCTGCCGTCGCCATGGCAACTCTGTCTCCCTATCCCGGCCTGGGCGGGACTGTGACCGGTGAAGGCCGTTGAATCGTTTCCTGGAGTCACTGTGCTCTCTAAACCCAACTACCTCCCTCCCCTGTCCAAACGTAGGTGACGAGCACTGCTAATCGTGGCTGCATGCACTGATGTGTGGAGAGTCCCCAAACCTACCTCCCCACCTAGTGGACACATGATGTTGTGTAATGTCTGAAGTCTGTTGCATTTCTGTCTGAGGTGTTTTTTGCAAAGCAAAGCTGCCCTCCCTGTGGAGAGTAACTCTGAAGTGCCTTTTTTCCTCCACCTGACCCAATCCTCATATATGAACCCTTTGATCATTATTAAGGTAGAGTGACTCGGGTTGCGAATGACCACAGTCACCAATTCTTGTCATGTGTCTATGCCTATGTATGTATGTCTGATCTCAGAATTGTGTGTACTGAAACTCTAATTTCCCTCTGGGATTAATAAAGTATCTTTGAATTGAATTGAAAGGCTGCAAAAAACTGTAAAAAAGATACAACTCAGTCTTACAAGATGATTTTTATGCTTCTAGTAGGATAAAATATCTTCAGTTAAACAGAAAAGTGGTCTAAAAATAGTCACAATACAATAAAAAATGTAAAACGCCTTTAATTTTTATTTTACAGGCACTGACTTTGTGCAGAATTTACAACATTTTTGTAAAGATGTACAATTTCTCTGTTTACTGAACATTAATGAGAATGTCACAGAAGTGACTGCTTTAGCGGTGCTTGCAGGCTGGAGGAGTTAGGGGAAATCACATGAGGTGTTTGACTCTGGGCCAACAAAGTGAAAGGAGGATCAGATTGTACCACGGCTCAACAAAGCCTGCGGATCATCTTTGTCTCACTCAGGAATAAAATCTACTCTTGTGTTGTGTTCAGCAACTAAACATCACACAGAGGTAACTCGATCTTCTCTTCAGCTGAATCATAATAATAAAGAGAAAGAAACCCTGAAGAGTTTAGTTTCTCTGATGCTTTTCCTTCTGCTGCACACTGAAAAACAAATGAAATATATTAATTATAAATCAATTTCTGTCTTATTTCAATTTCTGAAAAATGCCATCCTAAATTTTTAGACGGGGAAAAAATGGCAGGCAGGGAGGGGAGGGGGATAGAGCTTATGGGAAATTCCTGCTTGGAAAACCCATCTCTTGGGGGAGGAGCATCAGTATAAAACAGCCGCATGTGGTGCAGAAGCGCAGAGCCAGTGCACCACATGTCTCCAGCATGAAGCTTAATCTTCAGGCCGTCTGCCAGGTCGCCTTTCTGAGCCTCTGCTGTCTACTAACCGTAGGTAAGAATCCCTCTCTAATGAACACAGTCGGTGTTGTTTTCTCTTGGATAAATCATCTAAGCATGTGAAGCACTTGCTCCAGCTGAATTTACTCTTTTACCGTGTTTGTGCAGGGACGCAGTACGTCCCGGGGAGATGTTTGTGTCCACAAACGCAATCGGGTGTCAGGGGGCAACTGAAAGAGCTCAGAGTTTTGCCACAAAGTGCAACCTGTGGCAATGTTACAATCATGTGAGTAGTACATGCTGCAAACACACACACACACACACACACACACACACACACACACACACACACACACACACACACACACACACACACACCTCAGCCTGCACAAAAATACGAGTTTTAAGTGTTTCGTTTTTGTTTTTCTGGTGTTTTCTAGAGTCACGCTGAAGAGTAACGATTATGATGTCTGTTTGAATCCAAATGCACCGATGGGCAAGCAACTGCTCCGCTGCTGGAATAGGTAAGAGACTGATTTGCTGGAGTTACATCATGAAAAGCTCAAATCTATCAGTGTTTACTAGGATTATGTGAATGATTTTGATGCAAAATAGAGTAAGGGAGCAAAGCATTAAACTGCACGCTCCAAATGACTTGAGTTTGGTCACACCTAGTTCCTAATCCGCCTCAACCAACAGTATCTTGTTTATTGCCAAGCCAGTCTTTTTCTGCACAGAGGAAACAGTTGTGCAATTTCTTTGTTGTTTCGGCAGGTAGAGTCAGTGCAGATGCATTTTTTCTAACCTTTCATAGAATTAAAATTAAAAAACTTAGATTTAGATCTATCTAAAATGTTTAATTTGATATCTAAACATGGATGTTTTCTTCTTTTTTAAATTCAAGAGCTCAGAAGTTGGGTCGTGATGTGAAGGTGTGTCTAAAGCGGAGGAGACGGCGACGTGGTCAGCGCCAGAAGCAAAACCTGAGAGCACAGGGTCACAAACGGAGAGGTTTATCCTCAAACCCCCAGTAGACATGCAGACGGATAAAGGGCATTAAGTTGCAGTGAGGAACTCAGTGTGTACAGACTGATTCTTGTTGAAATTTTCATTCAACAAATACTGAAATAATTTCACGTATTTCAATATTTTGCTCCCTTCAGTTTCTGTCTGAGCTGCAAATCTTACTGCATGCCAGCAGCAGAAGGGTTTATTATTATTATTATTTATCAATGCAAATGACGGATTGTTTTCTAAACGCCCTGGAGGCTTGTCATAAATGGTGTCAGGTTTAAAGCATTAACTGGTCAGTGTATTATGTGTAGCTCTGTTTAAACAGCTGGAAGACTTTGTTGGTTATTTATTTTTATACAAAAATGTAAAACTCTCAGAATTTGCTTTGTGTAAATAAATATATCAGAACAATAGAGTGCCTGTGTGGTTTTAGACTCGAGCCTATGATGGTTCATTAGAATCAAAGGAAAAATGGACGACAAGTTCCTTCTTGGCAGGATATGAAAGGTCACTAAGACCTTAACCTCTGCTTTTGCTAAACAGCCACAGGATATGAGTCAGCTGGCGAAATACCAAACTCTTCTCACTCAAAATATCAACATGGATTAGACCATAAAACTTGCTAACTGGTGGTAAAAGAGGAGTGAAAATAAAAAATCACAATCTGTTTCCTTAACCTAAAAAATCTAACTGTTTGGGACGAGTGCAGTCATGTTTTATTGTGAACTTTATATACTCTTACTGGCTTTGCACAAAAAAACTCATGACACCATAAAATGCTGCACAAGTAGTAGGTTCACTAATAAAATAGCTTGTTACTAGGCCAACGTTTCTTGTAAAGCATGTGACATGACAGACCAATTAGAGCCTAAAGCAAGCCCGTGCACATTAAGAGTTTGTCCTTTGCTCACACAAGATATTGCTTACTTTAATGATCAGCAGCATGCTGCAACACGCTCCACTCCAATCCAGACAATGTTTTGATAATGATGCACAATTTGGTCATGTGCATCCTTTCTCACCAAACGGTTGAAAGCGCATGAACGTCAACCAGAAAGTGAAAGTTAAACGTCGGACAAGGTGAGCTTTGTTAAGGCTGGCACTGGTCGACTAAAGGAATTTTATCTTCATATTAGTGGAAAAAGCGGAAGCAGGTTGGGCAATAGGGCATATCCAGAAAACTGATAAAAACTGGTCAGCATGTCAAGTTAAAAGAGGATGTGGGTATTTAATTCATCTAGATTGAACAGGCATGTTCAAAGTAAGGCCCGGAGGCCATGTGCAGAGCTCAGAATGATTTTGTGCCGTCCCGATAACATTTCAAGAAAGATGAATTTAGTCTCTTCACTAGGGATGCACCGATCAGGTTTTTTGCTGCCGATCACCGATACCGATATCAAAGAATGCTGATCACCGATACCGATCACCGATACCGATCACGTGGATTGGCCAGAAATTTTCTACAACATTATAATGAGTGCTACAAACTACATAATCTGGGAATAAAGGAAATGTAACCTAATCTAAAATGGTCTGTATTAGGGTTGTCACGGTGTGAAAATTTAACCTCACGGTTATTGTGACCAAAATTACCACGGTTTTCGGTATTATCGCGGTATTTTTTTTAAACGTGCTACATTTTCACACAATTAAATAAACCCTGTATGTCAGGAAATATTGTCCTCAGTTTGTGTCTAAATTTAGCCTAAAATGTGTTATTTTGTAATTATGTTGTTTATTTGTTTACATTTTTCCCCTTTAGTCTTTAAAATACCAATATTTGCCCATAACTTCTTATTTTGTGTCTGTTTGATGTCATCATTTAAAAGTATTAGATCAGATAATACTCAGTACTCAAGTAGCCTTCTAATCAGATACTTTTTTACCCTTACTTGAGTAATAAACCTTATATCAGGAAAATGCTGTCCTCGGTTTGTGTCCTTCCAGTGAGCTTTGCAGATGTGGGAAAATGTCATCAGGCAGTAATCATTGTTAAATTCATAATTATTCTCGGAGAGAGACCAACTCTTATCTGCCCCTGGGAGCCCCGTAATGCATAGCGTCATTTCAACATGGGGGTGTCCGCGACACGGTTTATATGCAGGTAGCGGCGCTGCGGCTGCTTTATATAGCGACTCGTTGCATTCTCCCTCAACCCAAATCCTCGGATCACGCATTTTAGCTAAAACGCTAACGTTAGCTTGCCTTGCGTTGACTGTAGAGTTGTGGGTGATGGTCACACAGATGTGTCATGAGATTTGAAGCGCTGCTGCCTTTCACAGACACTTTTTCTGCTCGCGCTGCAAACAGGATAGCCGTCTGTCTGTCCCTCGGCATTCTTCAAATACCGTAAATCCTCTAATACAGGCCGGTATTCAATAGGCCGGTATTCAATTAAAGGCCGGGTCTCCAATTCTGGGTCTCCAATTCTGGCCGGTGTCTGAGTCAGTGGAGGTAAATAATGGCCGGTCTCTTATTGTGGCCGGATGGCATGTCGTTACAAACAAGTACGAGCGTCCCAGCGGCAGGGTTATAGTCCCCAAATCAACCAGCAGGAGGCAGTAGAAGTTCACGCAGACCTTTTTTAAGCCTTTTCTTCAACGCTTTGAAACGCTACAGACACGATCCTCTATCACGCTCCTACCACACAGAGTCACGGTGTCAGTTAACCATGCTAATTCAACCCGCTCCACAGAACACACATCACCTTCCCTGTGGCTTACATAACACTCACACAACAGCAAATCAGCACATAGGAACTAGCAGAATGATAGGAAACACATATAACACAATACCCAGAATGCACCTGGCTTACAACCCCAGCCAGGTCATTACACTATCAAGTTCAAAGAGAACGTGCTGATTATGCTGCAGAACACTCTGGAGAGCAGCAGTAGCCAGTAGGGGGTGTATGAACTACAGCAATCCCTCCGCGGTAGATGCGTTCCAGACCTGGCCGCTATAGGTGAAAATCCGCGAAGTAGGGACTCCCAGCATGCCCCTCGCGGGGATTCCCTTCACGTCGCACCTACGTCACAAACCGCGGCTATAAACGGAAGTCGCCTTTCCAGCTCACCACTCAGTCATCGTTTCTTCAGATTCACGATCAGAGTTTCCAACCTACCGATCAATCCAACGAACTATCAGCTCATAGTAAGTTATCTTACTTACTTCTGGAAAGCCCGGCATTTCCGTGTCACTTCGTTGACGCTCGAACGCTCGGGGGTTTCCTAGAGCACCGACGCTATCACTTCCGCGTCTGTGAAACCACGCTCCCTATTGAATTATCGTATGATAACATTCTCTTTTTGGGGGTAAAACTCAAGTGCCAGACCGTAGGTACTGACACGCGATCGTTTATGTCGGTTCATTTCCTTTAATGTTTTCTGTCTTTTATTTGCGCCTGATGTGTATCGCTGCTGTGGAGCGAGGCGCATCACCTTGTCCTCCGACGCACAGATCACAGCAGGGAGCGCTCAGCTGTTTTCGCGGTCGGTAGATCTGCCTCCTGAGCACGGCCACAGTAACAATCAGGTGTCGCCACCTCAAAAACTAATTTAACACGCGATCGTTCATGTCAGTTCATTTCCTTTAATGTTTTCTGTCTTTTATTTGCGCCTGATGTGTTTCGCTGCATGCTGTGGAGCGGGACGCTGCGCGCATCACCTTGTCCTCCGACGCACTGATCACTGATACAGCCGCCAAACAGCAAGCGCTCCGCTGTTTTTGCGGTCGGTAGATCTTTTAGAACTGCAGTTCAAAGGTAACTCATGAGGTGAATATATATGAACCCAGGTAGTTTTTCTTTAGGACTGAGAGGAGATGCAGGAAGATAATAAACAGACAGGACAGAAAAATAGTCAAATAAAAACAAGTTAGTTTTTGTACCTGGTGGTTGCAACAAACAGACACCATTGAAGGTAATCAGAAGTGAGGAACAGAAAATGAAATAATTATTTTAATGTTTAGAGCAGCAGGAACTCCAAGAGGCTGCAGGCGCATCAGTGAGTTTGCGGCCGCTGCGCAGGGGGAGGGGGGAGAGGGCTGAAGCAGGGGGAGGGGGGAGAGGGCTGAAGCAGAAACTACCGTTGTTAAAAGAAATGTGTTTAACTTTGAAAATGTGGGCGCAATTTTAATTGTCAAAAACTCCAGCGAACCATCAGTTCATTTTGCTCAAATAGAAATAGAGGCCTGCCTCTAATACTGGCCCTCCTTCCAATAAAGGCCTGGAGCTTGATGAGCTTGAGTCAAATACAGGCCCGGGCCTGTATTAGAGGATTTACGGTATCTAAAATATGCCCGTACTTCCGACTTTGTCTTCTTTGAGGGATAAAAAAGGTCCTCCTGAGCGCTGCCGTCTCCTCCTTTGACCATTATTTCAGCTTTAGCTTCAAGAAAGTTTTGTTGTAAACAAAGCGTGCACGTGCCGCCGGCAACTTCAGCCGATGATACGGTGGCTGGTAAGGGTCACCGCGCCTACACCGCAGCCACGGTAAACCCACCAGGATAATATAGTTTTTTAAAAAACAAGACGGTTATTATTATTGTCAACTTTTTTTTTTTACCGGGGTTTACCGCTACACTGGTTACCGTGACAACCCTACCTGATCGGTTTGCTTTGATCTATTTTGAAAATTCCGATCAAAACCGATAGGGGCGCTATCGGCCGATTACGATCAAATGCCGATCCATCGGTGCATCCCTACTCTTCACCAGGTTGTTGATGAACAGTAATACCTGCCACCATTTTTGATTTAGCATAAAAGTAGAATATCATGACAGTTGACTAATTTCAGTAATTCCATTCAAAAAGTGAAACTAGTATATTAGATTCTTTCATCACACAGTCTGATATATTTCAAATGTTTATTTCTTTTAATGTTGATGATTGTAACTGACAACTAATGAAAATCCCTAATTCAGTATCTCAGAAACACGAACATCAATCTAGACCAATGCAAAGAAAAGCAATTTTAGAAATGTTGGCCAACTGAAAAGTATGAAGCACTCAAAATTTAGTTGGGTCTCCTTGGGCCTGGAGTACTGCAGCATGGAGTCGATCAGTCAGTGGCAACGGTCATGTTGCTCTGATAGTGACCTTCAGCTTTTCTGAATTGTTGGGTCTGGTGTGTTGCATCTTCTGATTCACAATACCACATAAATTTTCTATGGAGTTAAGCTCAGGCGAGTTTGCTGGCCAATCAAGAACATGGATACCATGGTCCTTAAAACAGGTACTGGTAGCTTTGGCGCTGTGAGTAGGTGCCAAGTCCTGTTGGAAAAAGAAATCTGCATCTCTATAAATTTGGTCAGCAGCAGGAAGCATGGAGTACTCTGAAACTTCCTGGTTGATGGCTGCGTTGAACGTGGACCTCAGAAAACAAAATGGACCAACACCAGCAGATGACCCCAAACCATCACTAACTGTGGAAACTTTACACTGGACCTCAAGCAACGTGGATCCTCTCTTCCTCCAGACTCTAGGACCTTGATTTCCAAAGGAAAGGAAAAATCTACATTAATCTGAGAAAATACATTTGGACCAATCAGCAGCAGTCCAGTCCTTTTTGTCTTTAGCCCAGACAAGATGCTTCTGACTTGGTTTCTTGTTCAAGAATTGCTGCGACAGCTGAAAACCCATGTCTTGCATACGTCTGAGCGTTGTGGTTCTTGAAGCACTGACTCCAGCTGCAGTCCACTCTTTGTAAATCTCACCCACATTCTGGAAAGGTTTTGTTTCACAATCCTTTCTATGTTGCAGCATCCCTGTTGCTGTTACACTTTTTTCTACCACATCTTGTCCTTCCCTTTGCCTCTATTAACGTGTTTGGACTCAGAGCTCTGTGAACAGCCAGCCTCTTTAGAAATGACCTTTTGTGTCTTGCCTCCTTGTGCAAGGTGTCAATGGTCGTGTTTTGGACAACTGTCTTCCCCATGATAGTGTAGCCTACAGAACTAGACTGAGAGAAAGGCTTTTGCAGGTGTTTTATGTTAGTTAGCTGATTAGAGTGTGGCACCAGGGGTCTTCAATATTGAACCTTTTCACAATTTTCTGAAATACTGAATTTGGGATTTTCATTAGTTGTCAGTTACATTCATCAACATTAAATTGAGCAAATACAATGGGCCTTTCCGAGTATCTACCCCTGTTCTGGTACTCTGATAGTTCCTAAAATTTGTCTAAAATTACTCATCACCTACATGTAAAGCTACTGAAAAGCGGAATTTGTTTGCAGAAAGCAAAAAGAAAGAAACAGCTGTTAAATGCAAAAATCTGGCAGCCAGTAAACATTTTTTCTTCAGATTAAAGAAAAATATCCTTCAACATCTCCGCAGTCATGTAGATGGATGGGTTTCACCACATGGCGACCAGTTTAATATACAACTGACCAAATATAGGAAAAAAATAACATTGTTTAAAACAAGTTCTCTGGCCTCAGCCCTTTCTTGGAAGGATGTTTGCACAAACCTTGTCTCGGCCTGTGCTGTTAATGTTGAAGCAGTGTCAGAACTGAACCTAGAACACAAACACACACACACAAGATAAATGCATGAAGTTGTAGAGCAGAAACGACATTATCTAAGGGAGAAGAACGTAAATGAAGTAGATTTGGCTCAAGGAGTAGAGATAAAAAATGGAGCACTAAAGCAGGTTTTGTATGCATTTATTTATTACTCTGAAATGCTTTTAATATGTGAGCAAGAATGCATCTGTACGTGTTTATTTAAATCTAGCCTTTTATTACAGACTATTGATAATAGCTCAGAGGGACACATCACAGCAACAAACCAATAATACAATGCTGCCACCTAGTGTTTACAGCAGGACATGAACATCTCAAAATCTCGACTCAGGTTGTTTTCATCTTGTTACACATCTGTAAAATTAAAATTAACACATATGTCTAATTAATGATTAAAAACTAAAGTATTATCTAAATCAATATTCCATACCACAAAGTCCCAGAAAAAGTCCCACAAAGTCACAAAATCCAGTGTTTCGAAAACATGATAAAAGTATAGTTTTTGACATCTCTTCAGAGAAAACAAAGCTTACATTTGATCAAACTGGTGAACTAATGGTTCATCTGAATGTAAGCAACACCAAAGCACACTGTTGCCATTTTAAAACAGCCTTATCTGGAAAAAAAGCCCATTACATTAATGTTTCAAGCCTTTATGCTGCTGTTAATTTCAAGTTAACCCATTATTTCTGCAGATATATTACTAAATTCTTGCTGAACTCAACTTCCAGAGGGACCAGGGACGCTACATTTTGCTGCTAATAGTGATATTTATGGTTGTTAATAACCACAGCTTTCATTATAACTTTACAGTGAGAGAAGAAGAAGAAACAATTGTTTATACAGCGCTTCTCAATATAAAAATCATGAGGCGCTTTAAGTGTGAAGGTTTCTAGAAAATTGGTTGCATGAATCAGTATGAAACAAAGGAAACAAGCTGGCAGCACTGACCCAGCGAATAGTATCATGATTGACATAAGATAATCAACCGAAAAGCTAATATTTTAAATGATTTCACATACTAGGGATAACATATAGGCATATAGATGATATTACCTCCAAATTCATAATATTATAGATAATCTCAAATGGGGGTGGGGGGGTCTGTTACTTATAGTTCTTTGAGATATAACAGAATTGGCAGGTCAGAGCTGAAACAGAATCAAACATCGGTATCGGCTCAGTAAACCAGAATCGGTGCATCTGTAAGCTAGCCTGGCCTGCCAGACCCCTCCTCCGTTTAATCCTGCACAGAGAAAGAGTCTGGCAACTCTCCTATTCAAATAACCCCACCCTGTGAGTATTCTAACCGAGCCAATCAGTGCTGAGCAGCGTACGTCACACACCACAATGCTCGAACATGGCGACTGAAGCGGAGTTGGCTGCGGCTCTTTCCTTTGTTCTAAATGACTTGGACATGTCGTTAAAACAACAACAAGTAGAAGCGCTAAAGCCTTTCTTCTAAAGAAGGATGTCTGTGCTGTTGCCAGTCGCCATTTTTGACTACAGCTAAAAACTACAGTGTCGCAGACGCCACACACAGCGACACTCAGTTTTGAGCTGCCTAGTCCCACCCCTCATATGCCTCTCTGCCTGTGAGTTACCAGATTCTTTCTCTGTGCAGGATTAAACAGAGGACGAGTCTGGCAGGCCAGGCTATCTTTTAGCAGCACTCTTTGGATCTATAGCTGCCTTGAACTAGCCTTTAGCCCATCAGTCGTGTAACAGGTGAGAAAAACATAATTGTACAAAATACTCTTAATTTGTGGTACTAAAGTGACATTTTAAGATCATATCGAGATACATCTAACGTTCTAATTCAGGTTATATGAGGTATTTTCACTTTATATACAGTTAAAACCTTTTTCAAACCAATCAGGGAAAAACCCTTCTGGAGGGCAAAAACATGCATGTTTTTTTTCTTTCTATTAGCTTAATCAGAGGTTTGGGAAGAAGAAACAGAATAAAAACTGCCTGCTTGAGCAGTGGTGGCTGCCAATAAAACCACGAAACAGACTCCTCATTTCCCTTTCAGACTGATCTGTGATGCTTATTCAGCTAAACAAAATTAGTCTAAAGGAAGACAAGACTTTTTAAAAGTCTGTCACAATTCTCATTTTGATTGTAGGTTTAAAAATCTTATGATTTTTGTCTTATGTTATAACAGTTCGATGGCCAATACAAGACATGTTTATGAAGTTATTTGCACTAAATCCCTCTCATATAAATAGATTTCTGCAGTTTTATTCTTGATTTTTTTGATACCTTCCAGAATGAGACGTTTCAGGGCTCTGTTACATCGAAGATCGACTTTACTCATATTTATAATACATTTGCATTGGTCTGAACTCTGAAGTAGGAATGAATGCCCTGTAAGTTGTTCTCTGGGTAAAAAAGCTCCGGTGCGTCTGTTTCAGGAACGAGGAGTGAGCCAGATTAGAGTTGAGCTACAGGCAGCAGAATTTGGAGTCTAATTTCCTGATATTTGGGTATCTTGCCTGGGATTGGCTAACAGCAACATAACTTTACCACTGACTCCATTTGCTCTGCTTTTGTTTTATCTCCAAAAATAAAACAAGAATGGAGGAGTTCTGCCATGCGCTGGAGTTGCTAATGCTAACAGCTAGTTTCTACTAGTTGAGACATTCTCTGCTGTTTCCTGGAAACTAAATGGTGCAGTGTGAGCGTCCTGTCACAGGGTCCCGACTGATCATGTGCCCTGGCTACTTGGCCAAGGGGATGTCCCTTTGGCTGACTGGTTAGCACGCATGACTCTCACCCGGGACTCTGGGGATCGAATCCTGCCGGGGCCCTCGTTTCTCCACCTTGCCACATAAAACAACGACAGTTATCCCATCATGAGTCAAGATGAGTGGGTCCATCAACGTTAAGAGACAGTGTGACGTAGATCTGTCAGGCTCTTCAAATCCTAGCATTTCATCGTCTTTTTTCTATCAGAAGCTAACGCAGGAGATAGGTGTAGGAGACTAACTCAGAGTGACCAGTTCTAATCAGAAATAATAATTAAAAAACAAACTTACAGTTAAGGTGACTTTTAAGAAAAAAAAGCTGAAGCTGACCTTGCCCACCCACCCCCCACTCAGGCTGCCTTATGCTGACAAGCTCCGACATCAAGGAGGGGCTCAGAGTAGAGCTGCTACTCCTCTTCCAGGTCTCTCTGCTTATGAGAGGTGATTCTTTCCCCGTTTGTGACATCAGAAACATGGACTTTATGAAACAGCAAGTTTTAGGAACTTAATTTCTTAAACCAAACACGAACAGATAAAGGATGAATGTTATTTTTCTCATTTGGAGTGTTTATAGAGGCAGTAAAGACCCACTTGGCAGCACAAAATATAGCAAAAGGTGTGTTTACCACAAATTGTCCCCTTTAAGAAAAACACCTCTCAATCCTCAAACGTTGACCCTTCCCAATGACTGATACATATTAATAATGAAGATATGAGTTTTCTAGAACTCAAAAGGATTCCCCATTATTATACATTATTTACCAGTAAGAAAATGGGCCAAAAGCCTAACAGAATGGTCAGTGTACTGAAATGATGCTCAAACAAAGATAAGACAGTCCTCCTCTTGTCTGAGCCCCTTTCTGGTCCCTCTTGAGTATAAACTCTCCCGGTGGACAAAGAGCCTCCTCCAGTCCGCTGCAGGTTGTAACTGGTTTGATCATCTCGAGATTCGCATCCAATTATCGCTTCTGCACCGGCAGCCCAAACCCTCGTGCACAAATCATCATCATCCAAATACAACACAATGTGGATTTCTGCTCATCCTTTTTACAAAAACCAGGAGATGCATTCGTGACTAATTTGTGTTGTTATTTTTTAATGCTGCTTTAACAAGAATGAATAACGGTAAAGCAGATAAAGAAAAGTTAATGAAACAGAAGCAACAAAGCTGCGTTAATACTTTGTTTCAAAGCTAAATAGAGTAATTTTAACCCGAAAACAACTTCCGAACATGTTTTGAAGCATTTTAGTTGTTTTCCTGTTTTCAAAACGCGGACAAACCTTTAATATTTAAACGCCTCCTGCAGTAAAACATCCGTTTGTCTCTTACCATAGCAGAGCCGTCCTTATCCGTCTATGTCCTCCCTTATCTACTGCTCGCGTTCATGCTGTCTCGGCAATGTGGAATTCAGACCTCGGGATTCTGACTGACAGGAAGATCATCCAATCAGAAGACGAGATGATCCTAATCAGCCAATCGGTGTTGAATGAGGCGGACACATACTTTCCCCATTGAAAACAGTCTCTTGAAAAAAAAAATCAGCAAGGAGCCAAAAGGCATCTTTATTCTCAAATAATTTGTTGCTTTAGATTGCAATTAAATTGTTAATAATATTATTTGATTACTATTCACATAAAACATAATACAACATTTGAACTTACAACAATACTGCTATGTATATCTATACTTTTGTTATTATTTTTCTTCTTCCTTTTTTGTTTATGTGCTGCTGTAATTGCGTATATTCTATTCTATTGCACTGTGTCCCTTTGCTTCATCGTCTCACTGAGTGTCTATTGGTGGAAGGAGGTCCTGACCCCTGGGAAGATTTATTCCTTCCATCCTGTTTTCGAGTCTGGATCTGCCATCTTGGGAACTGGTGCAGGTTGGAAACACAAACTGTAGGAAGTCCCTCACACCCTGTTGTCTGAATAGGAGTCACGATCTACCACGCACAGAGGAAGTTAAGCTGTTCCAGCAGCTGACCAACTTCCCTAACGGACAACAAGAAGGAGGATTATTATTGGGTGGCTCAGCTGCTCACTGACCAGAAATCATTGTGAAAATGAGAATAGAGCTCAGAATATGGGACAGGGCCTAGACAAAGACTTCTTCTGTCTTTGTCATAAAACATTAGAACATCCCCTCTCGTCTGACTTGATTCACATGTCAGAACAATAATAATTCACACAAAAAAGGCAAACACTCACTCCAGATTGTCCACAAGACAATATAATATAACCTTAGAGCTGTTTATGTGTGATTTCACATGTTTGCTGATGACATTGCTACTGTCACTTTACTGATGAATAAGGCTCTTTGCTTTATTGATTCTTCCTGCAGCTTTGATGCTGCTGAGAATTTGCTTTTTTAAGCTGCATGTTATACACTCACAGTTCAGCGAACAAAGAAGTACAATCTGTGTGTGTGTGTGTGTGTGTGTGTGTGTGTGTGTGTGTGTGTGTGTGTGTGTGTGTGTGTTCTGACAGAGCAAAACTATTGATTTATAACCAACACCGGCACGAGCGTTCACATTTCTCATTTTAGTCTTTTTGTCTGATTCACATAAGAATTTTGTTTTTGCCTTAATCTCTGATTTGGTGGAACACGAGTCGATGGGGTGGTTTTGTGGGAGACTTTACGTTTCTCTAATCACCATAATAACACGAGTACTCCTCCCTGAGCTCTGTCTCCATGGTCACCACTCACACATGAAAAACACACAATGAGGAGGCTTGGATGTGACTAGCACATGCATCTGCACACTCTTACACACCTCTGCACATTTTTGTCCTCCACATGAATGGAAACAGCTGATCTAATTTATTGCCTCATGAATAATGCATGTTATGGTAATGGCATTAATGTTTGCTCTTCAATCAAGTGCTGCTTGTATACACACTATAACACACACACACACACACACACACACACGCGCACACACACGCACACGCGCACGCACACACACACACACACACACACGCACGCACGCACGCACGCACGCACGCACACACACACACACACACACACACACACACACACACACACACACACACACACACACACACACACACACACACACAGGCAATAAGACTAAAAGCCAGCAAATCCACATTGTTTAATTTCTCTGAATTTTTATTCTTAGAATAAAATACTATTTCAGATCTGTTTGAGGTGCAGAATATTCAATTTTGCCAAACAATAAAATAAAAATAAAAATCTATTTTCTAAAAGTTTTCTGATCACAATAACAGCAAACATTCAAAACACGTCTGTTCTGGTATTTTCAACATCAGATGCAAACATGTGCACACCCAGAATGTTGAAACTCAGTCTCTCTGAGCAGCTCAAACACCTTCTTTGCTTTGTTTTATTAATAAAGACCCGAGTGTGAGTGCAGGCCAGCTGTTCACTCAGTGATCATCGGTGCGGTGTCTGAGGTGGTGTCTGGCTCTGGCTCACAGTACCCACCTATCTCTTCCATCTCCCTCTCCACAGGCTCCTCCTCCACCCATCGGAACCATATCAGTCTCCTCTCCTTCCACCTCCTCCTCCTCCTGTCTGTGTCTTCAGGCGCTGCTGTCTGATGCAACATGGCCTGGTTGCTCTCGCCTCTGTCCTGAGAGCCAAGGTGGCGGTCTGTGTCTGAAACTGCCAGCCCCTCTCCCCTCCTTCCTGTCCCCGTGTGGAGGAATGAAACGATGCTGTGTGACTCAGGTCTTTCTGTCACATGGACATGTGTCAGGCTTTGATCGGTGATGCTCTCTGGTGGACTTTTCAGAGACTTGACCTTTTTTTTCTTGCTCAGCAAGAAGTTGAATAGAGCTGTGAGCATAAGCATTGACCCTGTAGAGATCAAATATGTGCATTTTATTTTTTCAGAACAAAACAGTTTTTATAATAAAAACAGATCAATTATTTATGCCTGGATTCCACGTGGCTGCTTAAGTTTCACAGACCCAGTTTTCTGTGGCTGAAATGCAACACCAGCAGTACATGACACAGTGTTTATTTTAATAATTGATGTTGTTAATGATAGTGAAATTTTACCTGGAATAACAGCGTGCCACACCAGCACAGGGTGCAGGAAGCAGACCACTGACATGATGGAGTAGTAGAGGAATTTATGGAAACCTCCAACACGAGCCATCTTCTCCCACAAGACAAACACCTGCCAGTTTGGGGGACAGCTGCAGAGAAAGAGAAATGGCCAGAAGTGTGTGTGAGTATTATTGCGCCCTCTTCAGGCTAAAACTCTGCACTATATTGAATTCGAATCAGGTATTGCTAATGGTTAAGAGGAGGAAAGTCTGAATTTTTAATCCCTTCCTCCTCCTCTTCAGGGAGGAGCAGAAAGCCACGCCTCCTATCGCACACACGGACACAAATAGCCTTGTAGCGCTGATGGAGAAGTAAAGTTTCGGGTTCTGCAGGAGAGGCTAACCTCTTGTTTTAATCAAATCTGCTGGGAAACATCCAAAACCTGCAGGAATCTTACACTTTTGATATGAGCACACCCGTGCTAGTTCTACAAAAGGCTGAAACAATAGTTTCATGCAGCACTACACTAATCACTTAACTCCAACACACAAAATATAAATCCCTTTTCATTCCCCTCCCCCCTCTTCCACAGTTAGCTTCACAGACTGACATTAATTTAATGCAGGTTGAGTCAGTGTTCATGCTAGGTTGGTGTGCTAAACTGACTGAGAGTCAGCCCCCCCCATATGCTGGAGACTGACTCATTCTTGTTGATCAACAGCTTTCTCTTGTGCATTTTTAACTCTTTTAGTCAATGCTCAAGGCTTGTATAAATGATTCATTTTACTGAGGCCAGGGGAGGGACTTAATGGAAATATAAATTATATACGGGATGGTGCCCATCTCGTCATCAGAGGGTTGCAGGTTTCAATCCCACTCAGTCTGTCGCGGTCGTGTCCTTTGGCAAAACACTTAAGCCACGTTGCCTGCTGGTGGTGGTCGGAGGGACTGGTGGTGCCAGTTTTCGGCAGCTCCTCTTCCATCAGTGCGCCCCATGGGCAGCTGCTACTTATGTAGCTCATCACACCACAGTGTGTGAATGAATGGGTGAATGACTGGATGTGCTGTGAAGCAACTTGGGGGTTATAGAACCTTATAAAGCGCTGCACAAGCCATTTACAGAACAGGGTCAAGTAGTTACATTTAATCACTTTAAAATTACTTTAAAAATTGTCATCTACGTACTCCATCTTTAATCTACATAGTCCTCACGGTACACTTCATACTCACGGTAGACACATGGACAGTAGAGCGTCCAAGAAGAAGGCCAGCTCAAACATCATGATGCCCACAGATGACGAGCTACAAGGAGAAGTTGACACAATCTGATTTATCGTTTTTTCGCACTAATGCATAATGCATCTAAGAAAGTCAGTGGAAAAGTTTGTGTGTAATGAGAATAAACAACCATGTCTCCCTGGAGAGATGATTTCTTGTTGCTCTGCTGGAGTTTGGCCATGTTACAAAGATTTATTAAGAATAGGAGGAAGACGTCTCTCTTTCCTGCCCTCAACAACATCCTTTTCACCCCTTCTCATCTCCCTGCAAGTGTGTTTATTTTCAGTTTGACAGATCATTAAAGCAGCTACTTTATTGACTTCCTAAAAGCACACAAGCTCCAAAAATATGGAACATCACAGTTTTCTCTCAGAGTTTACATATATACTCACATTAGATAGATGCCAAGGCTGTTGAATTCTCCCTGTTGTACTGTTTCCACGCCCACAGCACACAGCACTGGATAAGAAGAAGAAGAAGAAGAAGAAGAAGAAGAAGAAGAAGAAGAAGAAGAAGAAGAAGAAGAAGAAGAAGAAGAAGAAGAAGAAGAAGAAGAAGAAGAAGAAGAAGAAGAAGAAGAAGAAGAAGAAGAAGAAGAAGAAGAAGAATTATTTTTTGAATATTAGCGTATTTAGTCCACCAGATGTCAGGCTTGGCTCATGATTTTTTTTTCTGTCAAAAAGCTGAAACATCTCAACTAATCCCATTTCTACTCAGCAATATCCCCTTACTGTACGCTGTTTTGTTCTTGTTTTAATTTATTTATATTTTACCATGATTAGATTAGGTATATTTTTCATTTTTCTATATTGTATCATTTTAGGATTTGTCATGGATTTGGTCCTTTTGCCTTTTACCACACAAATCACTGCAGTTCTTTAAAAAAGCAAAATCAGTCAATAAATAAATAAACTATGACAAAATGTCAACAGAGTTTTTATGTAAAAAAAATGCATACACACAAAAACAATTAAAACTTTAAGAAATGAGATGTATTTTTACTACTTAGAAAAGTTTGAGACCATGATCTACTTGTATTAATTTATTGATAAAGTCAACTCTGTGACAACATTTTAAAAGCTCTACAAACATCAACTCTTGTCCCAGCGATCAGTGGTGATATTTCCTCTAAAAAACTGCCTTAGACACCTTGTTTCTTCATCAAAATCTGGCAAAGGGTGTAATGTGATGAATAACAGTTAACCCTCTCAGGCTCAAAATAAGTTTTGATAAAAGGATGAGTAACTAAGTCCTTCAGCGGTACTTCTGAGTGAAAAAATGCTCATGAAATACGTATGTGGAGTAACAAGGTAGGTAGGTTTTAACGTTGCAATTCTGCAACGCCTGCCTCCAGAGGGTTAACACAAACAAAAGAAGTCCAACAAAAACTGGGCAAGGACGACTGAGTTAGTCCCAAATCAAAAGTACAAAGTGAAAGCCAAACTGTTATTTTTCTGGTGGTGGTAAATATTTGGTCTTCACAGTAGAGAACAGCAACAAAAGAAAGCTAAGTCTTTTCAGCATCTAGAGTATCGGAATTAGCAACAAACCAGATCCATTTCTGAAACTATTTCTGCACGTTGATGGAGTAATAACAGAATCTTCAAGCTGCAATGCACCAAAAATGTTTTTAAAATGTGTGAGAAAATAGAAATTGAACAACAAGGAGAGTCTCCAGAAAGATTTCACTTATAGAGAGATGGATGAAATAAACAAAACAAAATTTTGTGAGACGTGTTAAAAGGATACTTTGCAAATTTTTCATATTTTTAAAATCTTTTTCCTGAGCCAGTATGCGCTAAAACGACCCTTTACGGGTTTAATGAAAGGCCACCCAGCCCCTATCGCCCCTTGTGACCAGAATATTCCACTTGCAACTTCAGACTGGCGGGTTGTTCTGTTGGGACATCCCCAGTGCTGCAGTCTGCTTCCAGCACTTTTCCTGCATATTTTAGATCATGCACACAGCTAATTTGTTTAATCTAGTGATGAATCACTCCTGTAGACACTAATGAAGGCTGGGAAACATTTCAGCTGTTAGATCAAGGTGTTAAAAAGGCAAACACACAGTGAAGAGATATATTTTTCTTTCGGTTCTACAGATGGATACTAGAGGGCGCTAAAAGCAAGCCAAAACTGCATTTAAACAGCATATCTGCAAGAAAAAAAGGTGAAGCTAAAATAATACTTGTCTCAAAAGACAACTTAACCCCCCAAAGGGTTAAAGCTGAGAGACTTACACTGACCTACTAAATGAGGAATTAGTGGATAATAGCCAAATATGGCCGAAGTTACAAAACAGTCATTAAGTCTCTGAATAATAGGTGGTGACAGGAATGGGTTTACAGGCTGTGATTCTGTTAAAGGTTTGTAACACTGAGCCATTGTTTTCCTTAGAATCTTTTGCAAGTAATAAAATATAAGAAGTACATTTAAAATATGTCAAGTATATATAAGTTATAAGTCATGACCTTCGACTTTAATCATATTTTTAAAATTTCCTTATAAATAAAATCAAACCATAGTTCTCAAATTTGAGTTCTGACCAAAAACCTCTTTAAATCCCAAAGTAAAAGTCCCAACCCGTCTTCTCCCTGTTCTTCGATAAGCATGGCTATGCAGCGATCACAGCAAAACACATGGAAGCAATTTCTTTGGCTCGTTTTCCAGAACTTCTGAGATGCAATCTCCACTGGAGGGAAAACAGGAGAGGGAAGTGGATTAATGGTTTCTGGTAGTTTTGGGGGAGTGTTTGAGGAATTAACACTGCATATAGCTCAGCTGGAAATTAACATATACACGTTTCCTGCTTATGTCTATACAGCACACACACAGAGGCTAATGAGCCAACCCAGACACGCAGACTTGTCAACAGGCAGCCAGTCAGACAGAGGCACACACACACACACACACACACAAACACACAAACACACACACATACCATAAACACACATATACACACTCTCATGAAAACAATGCACACAATGGTTTTGTGGGTGTAAATGTATAACAGCTTGTTGTGTTGAGCCCAATAACCCAGCTGGATATGGAGACTAAGTGCTGGTATGATGTCAGGCGCATGTCTCTGAGTTAATACTCAGTGTCTACAGCTGTTTAAATTTACAAAATAAGTGTTTCATATTTTTTTAAAAGCAAAAAAAAAACAGTGGAGTTTTTTTCTCCTGTGCAGATTTAAATCTGCCGTTCGTAACCGGTTCCTGAGAGCCTGAGGGAAACTGAGGTGGAAGAACGATAGCTGCACCATCAAGTGTGCCTTCATGTGTGCTGTATATCGGCCATGAGATGGTTTAGTGTTCTCAGAGGTCAGGAATGCAGTCTGCCAACTCCAAAACCTGATCTCTTTACATATTTAATCAGTCAAATTTTTGGAACTTGTTTGTAAACGGGATGTACATCATGTCAGCAGAATCAGAAAAGGTTGCTCTCTCCACCAGACTTCTGCTGCTAATACCATATGTTTGAGTTTTGCTTTCTAGCATCAACTTAAAACTTTACAGAAAGGATCTAAATTCCAACAGTGATTTCAGGTTTCAGCACTTCTTTCACATTCATCGTACCTGTTGCCGTAGAAACACCAAGGATCCTGCAAGCACCCTCGACAAACATCCACCACATGGTCTCCGAGTTTCCCATGCTCATGGATACTTTTCTCCTTCACTCTGTAAAAGTGTAACTTATCGTTGGTTCAAGAGTTTCCAATTCATCCTAGAGGGAAATTTGACTGACAGGTGGATGGATGGCAGTAAAAATAGTGTAATCCATCTGTGCCAAGATGTGGAGGAGCCCCTTGGGCTGGACGAGTTTATCTCAAAAGGGTTTGTGACTCGCTGCTCCTGTTGCTCCATTAACTACTAATCACACACACACACACACACACACACACACACACACACACACACACACACACACACACACACACACACACACACACACACACACACACACACACACACACACACACACACACACACACACACACACACACACACACACACACACACACACACACACACACCAAAAATAACTTCCATAGAACTCTACTCAACTATCTCATCATCCCGTTTTTTCAGACGACTCTGGAATCTGGGTGATGCCGTATTCCCGAGCAGCAAACACCTTTATTCGAGTCTCCAAGTTCCCTCCAACATCCACCGATCACAGGTCAGTTTAAGGGAGACTAAGCTTCGATGACGCACAACTACAACTTGCGTCAGAACGCAAACAACTCTTTTCCACTGGTTTGCAAATACTACTAACAAAATCCATTTGCAGTTCCTTGAACGTGCCAGCGAATGTGCTCCCATTAAGAGTAACAGAACACTGGATGTTAAATACAGTAGCACATAAACAAACAGACCCCCTTAGACACAGTTGCATATGCATGAATGCACATCTATATAATGTAAAGTTTGGCTGAGGTGGAAACTTGTTCAGACACAACAGAGACGAGAACTTGGAATCACAATGTTCAAAAACACACACTCACACACTCCTGCAGGGGCCAAACTAAGCTTTATAATCTCTTTAATTCCCAAACAAAGAAATGTTTGTGTTTTTGTACCAGTTTAGCTCAATTCTGGCTTAGCAGGTTATGTGTAACACTCAAGGCACCAGGTGACTGTATAAACTATAGGCATGCACTACTAAAAAACACGTCTCCTTCAAGGCCGAGACGAAATACGTTATTACAACACATTTTTAACTAACAAAAGTAAATGCTTCATTTTATTGGCTAACCGAATTGCTTGTTTGCATTTCTATCACTATTGTAGTCATGAGACCTCAAGATGAAAGCGGCAACTAGGTTTTTACAGTTGTATTGCTAAAAACAGAAACCCTCAGAGGTAAACAACTTTATGCTTTATGTGCAGTTTACATTTTATTTTTTTAAAACTAGAAACAAACTCAACAGTTTAACCACATATTTGATTTGATAAAACAGATAAAATGAAACTCAAAGTCTGTGGTTGTCATGAATAACTCACACGCATGTTTACGCTTTCGTGCATCGCTCACATAAAATAGACAGAGATGGGACAGGAATGCAACGGAGTTCCCGCAGCAGCCTGTGGACAGTTTGCTGTGTATTTTTATTTGACATGTTTGGTCCCTCTGATTAGTAAAAGAACACATTTTATTTTTGAATCAGTGGTTAAAAACATGTTCTGTTGTTTTTGGGGGGATTTTTGATGAATTTTATTGAAAACTGTCCGCTAAAACACCAAAAACACAGATACTACACTGCAAAAACGGATTTCTAGGGAACAGAAAAAGTCTACTTTTTAAACCTAAAAATAAATCTTCTACAAACAAAAAAATTCTTCTCTATGAAAAATAGCATTAGTTAAAGTGGCAGTGGCGCTAGGGGGCAGTACATATATTTTGGGGTAGTTTTACACCATATTGCCAAAACATCCTGGAAAATGTTGTTACCTGTAGAGCAGAAAGCATGCGACCTCAGCATGACTCCTCAGAATCGATCCTTCAGTTAAACCCAATGAGGCAATGTACTGCAAATGCTAGTTTTCTGGTGCTGTACTTTCCGGATCCGCTCAGGGTCCTGCGCCTGCCGATGTCATCATACCACTCAGCCAAAATACATTACTCTCTTACAGTTTTTTACAGACGTTAGGACCCATTTCTCAATACTAATGTCACTTTTGCTAGACACTTCACACAGTTCTCCTAACTGAGTTTCAGCTAGGTTAAACAGTTCATTTCACATTCAAAATGCACTACAACCACCAAAACACTTCATTCAGGTCTCAAACTCATTCCTCCAGAACACTAGCAAAGGTTGACAGCCGACAAACATACTTTGTCACCCACAAAACAAAGACCTAAAAACATGTAGCGTTACATTTTCTTGTGTAAAACAAGGACACATCTCTGTTCATACTTCCAATAGATGTTACTGGAATGAATCAGACATGATGCAGAATTAATCAATATTTCATGTTGTTCATTTTTAATGGTATTTGTTTTTGCACTAAGTACTTCCAAAACACAAGACTTTGTAAACACAACATCCACTGATACAGATTCAATATGCTAATCTACTCGGTCTTCTCCATTTGGCCACAGGTTCTCATCCACATCACATCTTATGTCATCTAGGGCAATACACCTAGGAAAGAATCTTCAGGCATGCCTGATCCATCCCTGGCAATCTACTGCTCATATGTCCAGGCATCCAGCGTACATTACATCCAGAAGGGACATTTGATCATGTGGATGATGGCCGTACACCTTCCACCGCCATGAGGCAAAGAATTCCTCTATGGGGTTGAGGAATGGAGAGTAAGGTGGGAGGAAAAGTGACTCCATTCTGGGATGGGCCACAAACCACTCTGTGACTGCATGGGAGTGGTGAAATGCCACATTGTCCCATACAATTATATATGTTGGCTGATTTCCTTTGTCCACATCCCTTTCCTCACCTAGCACAACCCTTCCATAGAGATCATGCAGGAACGCAAGGAGCCGTCCAGTGTTGTATGGCCCAATTACTGGTCTGTGTAACAGCAGTCCATCAGTAGATATTGCTGCGCACATTGTGATGTTGGCACCCCTCTGGCCCGGGACATCCACTGTGGCTCTCTTCCCAATCACATTCCTCCCTCGTCGCCATGTTTTGGCCAAGTTGAAACCTGCCTCATCCACATAGATGAAAATGTGGTGTGTTTGCATGCCTTCAATCTCCATGACTCTCTGAAAACAATCCACAAGGGAACATAAGCGGTTACATTACTGTAGTAAATGTGTACAAATTGTCTTTGTGTGTGTTGGTATTGTTCATTCCTGTAACAGTTCTTACCTGGACATATTGGTTCCTGAGTTGCTTGACATGTTCAGAGTTCCTCTCAAAAGGCACAGTGTACAAATGTTTCATCCTGACCTGATGTTTCTTCAGGACTCTAGAAATTGTTGTCAGGCTTACACTGTGAATATTTGCAAAGGTAACGTTGTCTGCCAAGATACTGCGTCTGATCTCAGTGAGCTTTATCCCATTGTTTCTGATTACCATCTGATCAACAATGGCGGTTTCCTGCACATCAGTGAACATCCTTCCTCTCCGTCCTGTGTGAGGTAACCGTTGAGTCCTAAGCAGAAATGCAAAAACAATTACACATAACATTATTTACATCTGACATGTGCAACTGAGTCACATGCCCTTGCAGAATACAAGTTACCTGTTGGTCTGCTGGAAAACTCTAACAATAGATGCCACTGTAGAGCGTTGCAGATTCTGCTGCGCTCTCTGACCAGCCTCTCTCATTGAGAGACCATGATTTACTACATGATCAATTACAGTAGCTCTGATCTCATCTGAGACTCCAGCTCTTGATCTTCCTCTTATTCTTCTGCCACCACGCATATGTACTCCTCGCCCTCTCCCAGCCTCTATTCTTCCTCTTTCAGCCACTTCTCCATTTCTGGCTGGGTCCATGTTTACATCACAACACAAACCTATTCAGCAGTTGACTACTTTTATAATGACTTTGAAAGTGTAACACTTGTGCAGCTGTTCATCTACAATTAGAGTCAGCCGTGGCTGGTTAAACTGCATTTATGTTTCAATAACATGTTGCTGTTGGATTTTGCTGTCATATTCAGTTTTGCAGTATGTTATTGTTTTGAACATAAGTTTTACAGTTTTGTGAATAGTATGTAAGCAAGTGCAACATGTCCTGTTAGTACAATGATTTTTGGCAGTTGTTGTGTCTGAGTGAGAAGGGACTTCATGACGTTTGAGAGATGTAGTCACTCAATGCATTTTGTGCCAAAGCACTGATAATTGATCCTCAGTTTGGCCCACATAGACTTCTGTTGTGCACACTGTATGTAGAGTTTGGCAAATGTGACCTAAGTATTGGGAAATGGGTCCTAACGTCTGTAAAAAACTGTAATATCTTATGTATCTCTTTTTTTGATTCTGACCTTTTACGTATGTTTAGGAAAGAGTTTAACAATTTTGATATCAAATGTCATCCAGCCAATAATCTAGTGTAATGTCATCGAAAGTCGCGGGACCCCGAATCGAAGAGAAGGAAACATGGCGTCCAATATGGCATCCAAAGACGCTAGATTTGTGCTCTATGTAGATTAGACTCGATTTTTATGGTTAAAAGTTAAAAAGCCACCAATATTTTGCAATGACTGGACATCATTTTATTCATTTTCAGCAAAGTTTTGATGGATATTTCCAGAGATTAACAGTAAAAATCCACGTTGTCTCTTTAGAATAAGGTAAATATTCTTAAATATGATCCAGTTGTTCTTGTTTTGAGTAAAACAATCTGCCAAATTATTTGCTAATTTTACTAATTTTAGCTATGCAACTTTTGCTTAACCCATTGGCAGATTTTTTTTTTACTCAAGACAAGACAATTTTGATTATATTAATAGTTACCTTATTTTAAACTGTGCTATTTCCAGAGAGGAGTTTATTTTCTTTTTAGACTAAAAATAAGATAAAATGTCTGAAAATTAGACTTTTTAAAAACTTTCTTAGAAATCAATTTTTACTGTGAAAATCTGTGTTTCACACACATTTAATCCCTGGCATCTGCCCCTTATTCTCTCTCTCTCTGTCTGACTCCCCCCCCCCCCCCCCCCCCCCACACACACACACACACACACACTACACACACTCCTAAATCCAGAGCCTTTCAATGTGAGTTTACGTTGCAATTATCAGGATGTGCAGGGGCCAAACAGCTTTCAGGACCTTAGAGATCTTCTGCAATTGCAAAGCTAATGTTACGTTTTAAACACGATACATGTTTTCCTTTCATTTCAGCAGCAATGCAGACACATCTCAAC